CTTGTTTTTGCAACAGTGGTGCTCAATTTTAAAATGTTTTCCATAAGGTGGAGATTTACTTTCTAGGATATCTAAATGCTGCTAAAGTAGCAACTGACAGTCCGGAGAGGTCCGAGTACAGACCATTTAAGAGGAATCTCCCTCATTTAGTCATAAAAAGAAAAAGTTACCATGCAGGGCAAGGACTTAGGTTTGTGTTTGTCCTCTGGGGTGGTCTTAGATCCTCAAACCAAGGGTTTAAAGGAAAAAAAATTAATAAAATCACCCATAAACAAACAATACTAAGGCAGTTAAATGAGGGAACTATTTGTTAAGTAAGAATGACAAAAGCTTCCAGAATTAGCACCTACAGGACTTTCCATACGCTACAGAATAATTATGAGGGCCAGGATTAAAATGTGAATGATCAGAAAAACCTTCACGGGAATTCCAGACCTCAGTGTATTCAGGGGGAAAGAACAGCTCTGCAATTCAGTTGCGTCTCTCATTAAAAATTGTTAAAAACTCCACGAAAGGGAAATGAAGTTAATTGAATTTAAATCGGCTAATAAATATTCTTTTGGATGCTTTTTCCCAGCAAAAGAGTAAAAAGGGATAATGCCGGTAGTTTATAGCCAATGTTTAAAACTCAGCCCTAAAAACAGAAAGAGGAATTCGCTATACATAAGTATGCCAAATATAAACCTTGTATCTTGTTCCTGGCAGGGACCATTCTTCAAATTAAATCTTCTGGTAAATTCTGAGAAATCTGTGATGGCTGTAACAAGGTCTACACAGTGCTGTATATGGCAAAAAATTATTCTCCAACCTGCATTAATGTTTTCTGTCCTGTCTGTATAACCACAGACAATTCTGCTAGTCATACAAACACATACTTAAGCCTGACTATCTCCAGGAAATTGTTTCATAATGATAAATGCACAAAAGTCACGCAGAATAAAACGGAGAACCGACTCATGATGGAATTACACATTGCAGAATTAATCTGGGAAGCATGCTGCAATGCCAAATTTGATCCACGCAAGCAAATCTCCCACATCTGGGCTAACATCTGACTTCTTATCTGAACTTTCCAAGATGCTTCTCAGTTATACAAAACTGCCTTGGATATTTTATGGAGAACAAGCTCTTTCTCAAATTTTCCAATACTTCCTATCTTCAGGGATGCCAGAATTACCACAAGAATGTCTCTTTCCTGGCACTTTGAATTGGACTGATTCAGGCCTCACTGATAGGATACAGTACAGGATAATTTATACTACGAACAACACTTTATTTAGGAGTAGAGGTTTTGTTATGCCAAGCCAAACAAATCATCTGTTAAATCCAATAACATGCTGACAGAGGCCTTTGCCTCATCCTCCAGAGCAAAAATGGAAATAAATTTAAACAAAACAAAACAAATAAATCACAAAACCCCACCACAAGAACAACAAGACAAACAAGCAAAAACATGACTGCAAAGTCATGGTAACCACCAGTGAAGGGGTCAGGAGCAAATTGAGACTCTCTTTATGTAATCCATAGTGCCTGCACTTTAAAAAGTAATTGATATTACAAACCATACCTATGAATCAGTGAAGATAACAGTGTGTGTTCCTTTTACAGGGACAGTTGGTTGTGAAGTTTACTCACTTGTTAGAATAAATGAACATTACCAAATTTAACCAGTTTGCTGGTTGAATTTCTCTGGATCAGGATATAAGTGCTTAATCAGAGCAAAAGAAGTAGCCCTCCATTCTACCTGGAGAGAACTTTAACAGAATATTTTACAGAAAGAAAAATTAATACAGTGGTGAAAAGAAAACCAGCAGCACTGGCTTACAGAGGGGCTGGATGAGTACATTTAAGCTGGAAGAACACTTCTCTCAGCTTTCTGAATTCCTTTGCAACCAAGACAACAAAATTTCATAGTTTCTTTTCTTCTGACTTTCTACTTCAAATGGACAATGCAGGAAGTAAAAACCTGGTAGCAAGTCACCAGATAAGGCAATTTTGGACTCAGGGTACACTTAATTAAAGGAGAGTCATCCTTAAGCCAGTGTTATAAATGTTTCTCAATGTTTTCTCTGCCTGCCTTCCAATAAACCATTCCTGCTGAAGGCAGTCAAACCATCTCCCATTTTTAAAGCAGCCACTAGGAATCAGAATAAAAATATTCCTCCTTATCCAGCAACAACATACCATCATGTTGGAGCACTTAAAACTCCACCTGTTCTGCACTAAAAGCATGTCTAATTTATATAAACTCCGGTTTATTCTTGGAAACAACAAGAAATCCAGTAGAGGAAAAATTATATGCTAAACCATCCAACCACCCGGGAGAGGTATGTTATTGTACTATTATACATCATACTATTCAGTGGTCTCTTTAATCACTCCTCATAAACTGACCCACCTTGTATCTCAAGAGAGGAACACAGTATCATGAGTAGACAGTAACACCATAAAACTAAGTAAGTTCAAAATTGCAACCTCTTTATATTCTTGGAACCACATTCTAAAAAAATACCTTAATCCGAAAAAAATTGATTAAATCCAAACATAAGCAAACACGAGCTCTTGGACTGAGGAACTGCTGGAGCTGATCCAAAGCAGCAGGCTCCAACTGTGGTGCATTCTGAATCATGGCCATGGGCCCTTCTAATCTCTTTGTCCATCACCTACCACTTCAGCAGAGCTGAGCACACTTTTGAAGTCGCTCTTCACATTTTGGCAAGTATGCAATGTTGTGTCTACTACAGGAGTCAGCAAAGGAAAAGGTAACTACTGTCAAAGGGCATTCATTTTTGCCAATAATGGCTAGGACTTAAAGCAGGAAAACACTCCAAGCCTGTTGCTTTCTAGCTTTTCCTCAAGAGGAGGATTCAACATGGGCCCAAAGACTCAAATGAACAGAATCAATGTAAACTGAGCAGTATTTGTAGCCTGACCTACTGTGCTCACTACAGGAAAGCATCTTCCACCACTTCCCTCCTCCCATCCTTCCTCGCTGCGTGATCAGAAAGGCATGCAAGATGCTATAGCATTTGTTTTACAGCATAACTACATGCATGACAGTTGCCAGCAAGACAAGCACACATGTATTTTCTGGATCACATGCTAATGATGGAATAAGATCTACGAATTCAACCAGTCCATCACCCTCCCTGCAGGCATCTTATCCAAGCTAGCAAAGGATGACTTTGCCCCTTCCAGCAGGCCACACAGGATTGTTGAGAAGTTGATTCCCAGCAGAAGAGCTGGCCTGCTATAAAGAGCCTTGTCTCCAAAACCTCCAACCTAATCACCTTCAGCCAGAGGAGATGTGACCCTGAGCTGCCAACCTTACAGAACATTGCCCAGAGCTCTCTATGAGCTGTACAAACCCCCAACCAACAATGCTACCAACATTTTTCCATGGAAGATTCTTTAGCTTCATTACATCAGGGAGCTTTTTTTGATGTTCAAGTTACCATCTCTTTTGCAGCCCACTAAGTCTATAGTTGCACACTCTTGCAAATGCTAAGTGATTATCTCTTGAGTATCTCCCACCTGAAATTGATGGTATCTTTGCTTCTTGGATATCTATACTAAGCATTTTTAATCATTCCTCAGAAATCACCCCCTTTGCTCTCCTAAATGGCTCTCCTTTCTCAAACTTTCAAAGGCAAAGCCAGGGAGTCAGACACATCCATGCTGCACATGCAAAGCCTGTTATTCTTGCATGCATAACCAGGATATCACAGATAACTGAGCTGCCTTGTTTCACTGCTTCACTGCAGCAGCAATGCCTGACCACAGGCCCTTGATTTGTTCCAGTCTTTGACTCTGCACGTGCTCTTTCACATCCAGTACACATGTTAACCTATCATTCATTTTATTTTCCCGTTTCCATCCCTCAGGCTCCACAGATTGTTCTGCACTGTCAAGTCTGTGTGCAGAAGGACAGTTCATTGCCAGTAACTGCAGATACCCAAGTTCTATACATAGAATATATCATAATCATAGAATATATGAAGTTGGAAGGGATCCATATGGATCATGAAGTCCAACTTCCTGCCTCTCTCAGGACAACCTAAACCATACAACCAAGACCGTTGTCCAGACGCTCCTTGAATATCAATTCTGCTGTCTGCACCCTACCAGTGTTGTGCTGTCAGCTTCAGTGACCCTTACTGCTGTTTGAACTATGAATATTTTTTCTTAATTTGGTACCATTCAAGTATCAAAGGCCCAGAAATTCAGCTCAAATGTGAGTGCTAACAGCCTTGCACCTCACTTAACGCTGTGAATTATGAGGTTTAAAGATGGCAGCGAGAACTAAACTGAAATCAGACCCAAGTACAGGTATCATTAAGCAGATGAAAAGGTAAAACCCACCAAGCTCTTCTGATGCCTTTTACATTCCTTCCTCGGTTGTGATCACCCTGGCTTCTACATCACCCCATCAACTGAGCATTAAATACGTTTTATTCTTGGAAAGGACATGCATCACCAAGTTCCCCAAAGGAGTTGCTGCTTTGTCTGCTTGAAAAAGCAGCATAAAGGTTACCTCTGTGGTGATACTCAATATCTTTCAGACCACAACTGTGCCCCGAAGGACTCATCAGCCTCCTGAGCAGATTGAATTTCAGCCTAAGAGACACAAAGGAGTATATTGTGGCTAGCTGATGGGCAAGAAGGATTTGGGGTTTACAGTTCCTGCAAGTCTTCCAGCAGTCACAAAGTAATGTGACAGAAAGTAAACAACTTCCAAGTGAAAACAGCCTGGAATGAAACCAATGTTCCTTTTCTTTGCTGCACCTGTCTTTGTTTCAGATCCATAATCATTACAAGAAATAATCTTCAAGGCAGTTGTCCAAGCAAGGGAATGCCCAGCATCATTATGTAGAGTTTCCCGAGCTAGCTGTCAGGTTTTGTTTAGCATTCTGCACTGGTCCTACAGTTTGGCTCGCCTGGAAATTTTAAATGCAAATGTATTTGCAGGGTGGCACAAGAGAACAGTATCAGAATTTTACCTCACACCACAGCTTCTCGCTCGGCTCCATTCGACTCCTTTTTCCTCCCTCTCATATACACAGATTTTTCAACCACCAAAAAAAAAAAAAACCCTAAAAGGCTTAAACAAGAAAATCTTTACCTCTTATTTCTTCCTAAGACTTTCCCTAGCCCTTCTGCTTAAACACACCAAAACCAGAGTTTAAATAATGCTTTAAAATTGCTTACGACCCCAACTTGAGTGGAGCAGGCAAGTAATTTCTTTAATAGCAGGGAGTAACAGCACTTAATTCAAATGATCCCCATACAGTATTTTCCACCTTCTAAGGGCTAGTTGTGCACTAGTTAATTAACCACTGTCTTCTCCACACCCCAAACTTGCCAGTCTTGCCCTAATAAACCAGGGGGAAAGCAACCGCCACCAAGAGGACATACTTCTGGACAAGCATTTGTCATTTTCTTCTCTCCTTTGTGCTCAGCGTCAGTGAGTCCTGAGCCACAGATGTAGGCAGATAAATAATTACCAGCTCTTATAATTCAACAGCTCCTTGAGAGGCCACAACCAGGGCTTTCAAAGAGGCAAAATCTTCATTGACCTTAATATGAAAGCATTCATCTAGCAGTGATGTTGAAACACTACAAACACTGTTAAAGGATGAGAACCAGACCTAATTCTTTTCTTTCTAGTGCACGGATGCTCTTGCCCATGTGCAAGACCAACCCCTTGTGTAAATCTAGGCACAACCTGAACACAGCTCAGCAGCTTGCATCAAGCTACAAAAGATCAGGATACATTTGAGGAATTACAGTACCACTGTGCTCTAATTTTCCCTTTAAAGACTAGCTTTTTGGTTTGCATTGTGGTTTACTGTCAAAAACACATGCAAGAGTGATACTTTAAAGGAAAATAAAGAAATAGGCCATGAGGTCAGCAGGTATAAATGGTCAAAGCCTCTAGCTCTGGACCAATCTACCTTGTTGCGGTTAATATCCATTACAATATTTAACTCTATTGTTCAAACAGGAAAAACTATTTTTAGCCATTACCTATTACGTTTGTCTAAAGATTAAGTGCCCCTTACAGTTCTATTACCAATCTTGCATTTTATCATGCGTATTTATAGAGCTGTTCATTAATCCCGCTGGCTCCTACATTGAAAAAAATCCCAATTAAAGTAATTTTACTGGCTTGCTTTATTGTGGCTACATTTTACAGCTATAATTCTATCTGCTGTAAAAATTAAAAGAGCCTCTATAATGGAAATAGGGGGAGGTATGACTGTAACTCAAGGATCAAGGTTTCTGAAGTGCTCAGGGACTCATTTTCTTAAGTGTTGAAGACTTAGAACTTGTCTTTCACAGACACATTTCCCTCAAGGTCCCCCAAAGAACTGTGGTTATAAAAGTCTGAGAACTGAAAAGAAAGACCTCAAAAATCGAGCAATTTACTCTGGAGCCTAAACACAAGGTAAGAGTGTCCAAAATGTGGCTCTGCCTTGTGTGATGAGCATTTCTGGAAATTCCTCTTACACTGTCTGCTTTGCAGTGTCTTTTTCACTGTGAATCCACTGGGAATTTGTCTCAATTCCATATTCCTTCCAGAGTCTTCCCCTAATTAGATTATTAATGAGAAAAAGAAAGATGAAGCATTAAGTCATTTAGTCAATGCTGCGTATCGTAAATATGAAATCCTTGTCAATACATGTTTCATAGCAAGTCATGTATGAATAGTCTACCATAGACTAACTAGAGATACGCAGTATTCATGTGACTCCCAGAACTAAGTTTTAGAGACGCCATGCTTTGGCTATGACAGAAGTTATGAACAAAGAAGAGTTTTGCCAGGCAGTACCACAGCTCCACAGCCAGCTATGCCCTCCATACCAGGCATGTCCATTTTTCTACAGCTGGCCTATACTGAACTATTTCTTTTATTCAAATTGTAAGAAAGCTGCCTAATCATCACCTAATTGTCACCTTTTTCCTGAAAGCTAATAGGTATGGAAGACAGAAGGAAAAGTGTTTATTTTACACGAAGCATCAAAATTTAGTGTCAGACTTCTCTTTCCATCATTCATCAACATGCTGGTAAAGACAAAACCTGATTGTTTCCTGTAATTTAAAATGAAATGCTTAAAAGTATGCTGGCTGGAAACGACGACCATCACAAAAGCTAAATCATTTCCTCGATCTTTTCTCCGAGGCTCTTGCTGCTTCTACAGTATTAAAACACTGGCACGCATCCCACTTCACGTATTCTTGAAGAAAAGGAAGACACCGGACCTTTACCAGTGATCACTTACGAGCTGCCAAAATTCACAGTGACTGCACACACGCATATTGATACGGACAAGCCCATCTTCTGCCAAAGACACGAGAGATTATGCACTTTGGGGTGGAAACATGCAAAATCATTCTGCAAAAAAATTATCTTACTCATGCACATAGATCTTACTTGCGTTGAATAAGGCTTAGAGCAGTCAACCCACAGGAATCACATTTAGAGTCAACTCCAGTTACCTGAGATAGCTATTTCAGACTGTAAAAAAAGGAGATGTCTGCACGAACGCTGATCTCACATTCTCCCAGGGTGCAGAAAATGCTACCTCGAGGTTTAGAATTAACAGAGAACCCCTAAACAGCTACAAAAGCTGCTATTTCATCGCACTTCGCAGGAAAAGACAAAGCCGGAGCCCCCTCGGACCCCGTCCCTGCGGACTCGCCCCTCTCGCTAACCCCCTCCGCCCCCCAGCCCCTGGGGGACAAAAGGAGTCCCTGGGGCCGCCCCCCAGCCCCTGGCACCGCACGCCCCTGCAGCTGCTGCGCGGGGACACAGGGGCAGAGCCGCCTTCCCTTCCCCCAGCTTTCCGGGCGAGCCCTGGGCTGAGGCGCGCAGTCCCCGCCGTCCCCCACTCACCGTGTGCAACCCCGGCCGGCGCCGCCCGGGGCGGGGGGAGCCGGAGGCTGGGGAGGGCGGTGGGATGGGGCGTCCGGCGGCTCCGCAGCGGAGAGCAGCCGGTGCCGGCACTGCCGCCCGGGGCAGCAGCGCGGTGCACAATGCGCGGCCGCGGGAGCCGCGCCGGCGGGGCGGGACCGGGCGGGGCGAGCGGGGCTGGGGCGGGGGGTGTCCGCCCGCCTCGCTGCCGGGAGGGAGGGAGCCATGGGGAGAGCAGGACCTCAGACACCCCGAACCCACCCAGCAGCACCCCGGTGTGCTGATGGGCACCCCCTTCCCGCTGCGGCTCTGTGGGCAGGGACCCTGCAGGCAGGGAGCGGGGCTTGGCCAGCGCTGGCTGGTACGGGAGCAGCGGGCGGTGCGTGGTAGCTCCAAACCGAGCTTAGGAGTTCAGCCCCCGAGAAGCTCAGCGGGGATGCAGCTGGCTGGCGAGCCCCCTCCCTGCGCCAGCGAGGTGCTGGGGTGGGGCTGAGGGAGGGGAAGGAATCGGGGGGCAGAGGGCAGGTGGAGGCAGGAGTGCAGGTGAGCCCTTCCACCTGTGTCAAGCGAAGGTGTCGTTTCCCGAGGAAAGCCGGTGCTGCTCCAGGCACTACGGTGCTGGGGAAGCTGGAAGCCGAATTGGATGCACCAGGCCTTGTGCCATCAGCGCTCGCATGTGCTGAGGTCCCAGGCCAGGGTGGTGTGGAGCGTGTAGTCCCAGGCAGGGACAGCAGCATAACGCTGGCAGGCTTAAGTTTGCTTTGTGGCTGTGTATCCGTCAAAACTTGTGGTTTTGCCTCGTCTGTAGCTGGTAGTTTTGATCTGAGTTATGGGATTTAAAGTGTACCCTGCAGGGATTTAAACCAAAGGAAGTTTTATACAAAGAAGTTTCACCATGACTTTCAGCCACATCAAATTGCATCTCATCTGGGGTATCTGGCAGGCACGCTGCTTTGGTTTTTCTATCTACAGGAACGATGGTGCCAAGAAGCAGACTCGAATGATGGCTGTGTTGGGGTGCTAATGCCACAACATCGTGTCACAACACCCCAGGCTTCAAAATACATGGTCTTCTGATCTCAGAAGGGGTTCACACTTCATTTCTTCCTATTTCCAGAGGAAGCTGGACATCAGACTTTCTATATTGACTTGATCCGGTTTGCATTCAGACTATAATGATTTTGAATGGTATCACTAGGTGGAGGAATCGAATAGAGGAAAAGTAAGGATCATGCAAACAAGTCCTTTGCACTGTTCAGGGCACATTGTTACACTTTAAAAGCTGTTAATAAAGTATACTGTTGCCTGTTTCCTGATTGCAAAGACAACAACAGTGCATGAGTTGTCACTGGGCATTTATAGCCAGTGACAGAATTTAATGGTGAAACAGCCAAGTCCATGACAAAATAGCCCCAGAGTCATGTAATCTATAAAACTATACTCCTGCACAGAAGCAAGCCATGATTTCTTATCACCTTAACTAACCCAGAAATCTGGGGAAGACACCTTTGCCTTTCTAAACTTGCAGTGAGAGAATGAAAGGAATGTCCCCAGTTGACCCTGAACGCAAAGAAGAGTTAATCTGAGGACTGGGAAGCAGTTTCTTCTCCAGAACTGGCATTTTTTTCAAACAGCAGGTCTCTAGGACAAACTGAAGCCCATGGAAGAGACATTTTCATCTGTTTTCCTTCAAGTTACCTCCATTTTAGAAAATCTGAACCACATGATTAAAGCACAGCTAATTAACATGCAAAGGAACCTGAGTTGGGTCTTTGATCCATAAGTGTTACAGAATCACTATTAAGCAATGCTTTGTTAGTAGGAACTGGTATCTGAATTTGTCATCAGAAACAATGTATCATTCGTTTATTTAACAAAGCAAAACCACACGGGTTGCTCTCCCTCTGGAAGTTTTCTGAAAGCTTTGCTTTAAAAAATGCATTCTCCCCAACAAGTAAAAATGAGAAAATTGATACTTACAATGATTTTAACAATTGCTGCCAGGTTTAAGCCTCATCTGAATGAGCAACCTCTCTGCACCCTGCCAGGGGCCAGCTGACTTCCATCAAAACTAGCACGGCCACAAAATTCCTTTTGTTGGAAACATCTTAAGGGATCAGAGACTTGTTTTGCACTGTTAATTTGGGATTACTCCGGGTAGGTGAAATACTACTCCTATATGGCATCTTGATGTGAGAAATAGTTATTTCACAAGAGGAAAAAATTACCGAAGGATTCAAATCACTC